AGAGAGAGAGAGAGTGGAAAAGGTAAATTATGTGTTAGTATTATAAAAATAGTTTTACCTAGAATACTCTTGAAAGGCTCTTGAGGGCCCCCAGACAATACTTTGAGAACTATTGCTCTAGATGAATCTCCTCGTTTTACATATAAGGACCCTGGGCCTCAGAGACAGTAAGTGAGAGTCAGGCGTGGTGGCTCACACCTGTAATCCCAGCACTTTGGGAGGCTGAGGTGGGCCGATCATGAGGTTAGGAGATGGAGACCATCCTTAGCTGGGCAAGGTGGTGCGCCTATAATCCCAGCTACTCAGGAGACTGAGGCAGGAGAACTGCATTAGCCCGTGAGGCAGAGGTTGCAGTAAGCCAAGACTGGGCCACTGCACTCCAGCCTGGTGACAGACAGTAAGTGAGAAATCACTCTCACAGCCTGCTAATGGTAGGATATTAGATGGTTTATGTCACTTCTCTTGGTTTAGGTTCTCAATTGGAGACTTGGGAAATACACCCCAATGGCCTGTCCTATTCCCTGTAAGTTGCAAAGACTGTCATAATATATTACCCCCCACCCAATTTTTTTAAATAAAAGAGGTACATCAACAAACTTGGTAAATTTTGCAACAGGCAGACTGTGTTTGAATCTAAACTACAATATTTGAATTTGGATTTCTATTTGAACAGAACACTAAGGCAAATTCGACAGCATCCTATTCCATGCAAGCTAGTAATGACAAACTGCACAGTAAATGTCATAGATAAACATGGAAAGCAGATTACCCATAAATAACATATTATTTATCATATATTCTGTGTCTGAAATACAATTCAATTACATATTTCAAAAAAATGTTCTCAAGTACTGGCTGAAGCGGTGGTGGGCACATCAAGAGACTGGAAATAAACTGGTGATCACAAGAACTTTTATAGATAAAATGGAGTTGTTCCGAAATGCAGATATTTTTCATTCTCTAAACCGACCTTATTTTTGTCTTTTAAAGAAAATCAAGAAATCTTCTCAGCCCCCTTGAGATGCTTTCCTTTGCATCCTACCAGATGGTTCAGATCTTCTTTAAATGGATCATAGCCTTGTTCTTTCAAAGAACACAGGGCCCAGAAAAGCTGGTCTAGTGGAGGAAATTCTTCCCAGGGAACCCCCTCCCAACTTTCATTTTTTTCAGGCTCTACACTCTCTGATTCTGAATCATGAGTCACGTCTACTTCTCCTTTCATTAATATAGTAACATAATGGTAATTTTCCTTCCCAATGAGAGAAGTTACAACTGAGGCAAAGCGAACATGTATCAGGTGAAGAGCTTCTTCCCACGTTTCCCTTCGAGCACATTCTTCCCAGCTCTCGCCAAACTCCAAATGACCCCCAGGGAGCTGGAAACTGCCAGCTCCGAAAGACCCTTTCCTCTTCCCCAGGAGGACGCAACGTGAATACTTGCAGCTGGTCACCACGACTCCGACTCCGGACTGCCACCCCTGCGGCTCCGTGCTGGGTGTCACAGTCCGCAGGAGGACTAAAAAATATGTTTTAATTTATTAACACTAAAGTTTAGTGAACGGACCGGGTGCGATGGCTCACGCCTGTAATCCCAGCACTTTGGGAGGCCAACGCTGGCGGATCTCGAGGTCAGGAGTTGGAGACCAGCCTGACCAACATGGTGAAACCCAGTCTCTACTAAAAATACAAAAATTAGCCAGCTGTGGTGGCACACGCCTGTAATCCCAGCTACTCAGGAGGCTGAGGCAGGAGAATCACTTGAACTTGGGAGGCAGAGGTTGCAGTGAGCCAAGATTGCGCCATTGGACTCCAGGCTGGGCAACAGAGTGAGACATAGTCTCAAACAAACAAACAAAAATTAGGTGTGAGGGTGTGCGCTTGTAGTACCAGCTGCTCAGGAGACTGAGACCAGAGAATCGCTTGAACCCAGGAGGCAGAGGTTGCAGTGAGCTGAGATTGCGCCATTGCACTCCAGCCTGGACAACAGAGCGAGACTTTGTCTGGAAAACAAAACAAAACAAAACAAAACAAGTTTAGCAGATGGATTGAGTAGCAGATTAGAAAGAGTTGATAATATAGCCGGGCGCGGTGGCTCAAGCCTGTAATCCCAGCACTTTGGGAGGCCGAGGCGGGTGGATCACAAGGTCAAGAGATTGAGACCATCCTGGTCAACATGGTGAAACCCCGTCTCTACTAAAACTACAAAAAAAATTAGCTGGGCATGGTGGCGCGTGCCTGTAGTCCCAGCTACTCAGGGACTTAGTGAGGCTAAGGCAGGAGAATTGCCTGAACCCAGGAGGCGGAGGTTGCGGTGAGCCGAGATCGCGCCATTGCACTCCAGCCTGGGTAACAAGAGCGAAACTCCGTCTCAAAAAAAAAAAAGAAAGAGTTGATAATATAATCCAGTAAACAATCAAATGAATTTAGGAAAATTCCTTGTAATGTCGTATGGAGAGACAAGGAGATAGAAAACATAAAAGATATGGAAAAGAAAAGCAGATAGTCTTACACAGTCCAACAGAAATATAGTATGAGATACATACATACATATATAATTTAAAATTTTCTAGTACCAACCTAACAGAAAGTAAAAAGAAATGCATGAAATTAATCCAAAATATTATTCCATCATGTGATATAAAAATCATGAATAAATATTTTGTGTTCTTTTTTCCCCACTGTCTTTGAAACCCAGTGTGTATTTTGCACTTATACCACACACAGCTCAGTTGACAGCCATGTGTGGCTAGTGACTATTATCCTGGAGAATGCAGATCTAACTTACATGTAAAAAGATTTCCAAGAGGAAAGGGAGACAGAGAAGGCAATACTTGAAGAGATAATGGTGGATAATTTTCCAGGATTACTGGGAGGCAGGAATCTTGAGATTCAGGAAAGCCGGTGAGTCCTGATCAGGATGTAAATATTTTGTAGGGAAGCCTATAAAAGCCGAAAACAGAAAATGTGTTAAAACTAACCAAGGGGAAAGATAGACTACCTACAATGGAACTTCAATTAGACTGAAGACAGTCACCTTTAGTATCTTTAAAATGTTGACTGAAAAGTTACAATGTAAGAATTTTACACCTACTTGAACTATCAATAGTGAAAGTAAAATCAAAGACAAGGTTATCACAACAGACTTTCACTAAAAGAGAACTGTAACAATTCAAATACAATAAGGTGACTGGAAGTCTGTGGAAATGTGGCAATGTGTGAGAGAAGGGTTCCCCAAAAGAGATAAAAATATAATGTATCTTTTCCTTGTTTTTTAGTATTTTTCCCCCTCTCTAGAGCTTGAATGGCAATGAATGTGTTGAGTTACGGAGTCAGCACTAGTGCAACCTTAACTCCTTGTCATAAGTGTTAGGGAAGCAGGAGCCTAGGAGAGCCAGAGTAAGGCCATTTTAAAATCAACTCCATCTTTTTTTTTTTTCTTTTGAGGTAGAGTCTTGCTCTGTTGCCCAGTCTGGAGTGCAGTGGTGTGATCTCAGCTAACTGCAACCTCCTCCTCCCAGATTCAAGATATTTTCCTGCCTCAGCCTTCTGAGTAGCTGGTATTACAGGCGCCTGCCACCACACCTGGCTAATTTTTGTCCTTTTAGTAGAGACAGGGTTTCGCCATGTTGGCCTGGCTGGTCTCGAACTCCTAACCTCAGGTGATCTGCCCACCTTGGCCTCCCAAAGTGCTGGGATTACAGGCGTGATCTACCGCACCCAGCTAATTAACTCCCTCTTTTATTTACTTATTTATTTTGAGACAGAGTCTTGCTTTGTTGCCCAGGCTAGAGTGCAGGGGCATGATCTCGGCTCACTGCAACCTCCACCTCCCGGGTTCAAGCAATTGTTCTGCCTCAGCCTCCCAAGTAGCTGAGATTATAGGTGCCTGCCACCATGCGTGACTGATTTTTGTATTTTTACAAAATTTAGTCGAGACGGGGTTGGTTTCACTATCTTGGCCAGGATAGTCTCAATCTCCTGACCTCGTGAGCCACGCAGCTCGGCCTCCCAAAGTGCTGGGTTTACAGGCGTGAACCTCCGTGCCCTGCCAGCTTCATCTCAAAACTAGCAAGGCACATTCCTTGCTAGTGATGACCCAAGGTCATAAGATCTTTATAGTTGAGGAAAGAGCCTAAAGATTACCTGCAAGGACAGACTTCTACAAAAACAGAAAGTCCAGATGTCCCAATACCCATAACAAGATTTGCTTTCAAGATAATTATGCTTTTTTTCAAGTTACTTATGCTTTGATGTACTCACACAGTAGAATGTCAAGGATAGATTTCTTTAAATCAATACCATAATAAATTTGGTCATGCTGTCTGCTCTTCTGCACATAGGCACAGCTTAGTTTAGTCTTTGTATAGGCAAGATCCTTATATAAGAAAAACTTAAAGACTGTGTGTTCCTCCACTTGCTTTCTGAGAACGCTCTATTCTATAATGAGGTAGCTTTCAATAAACTATCTCTTCTCACTGCACTCTGATTCTCCTTGAATTCTTCTCGTGTGAGACCCAAGAACCTTCTCTTGGTTCTGCACCAAGACTCCTTTTTCCAGTTACAATAAGGTAGGAGAGAGAAGGGAAGGAGGAGCATATGTTCTTTTATTAGCAGGATAGTACATCATAGTATTCCTCTATTTGTTCAACTTTGGGATACAAAATGTTTAGAAAGCTCAGTGAACAATTAAGAGTTACACAGAAAAAAGACATTGTTTTGGAATATAGGGTAGCAGAGGGAAGATAGGGATTAGTAGCGTGTTTGGGGTTGTATGAGGACAAGAAAAAGCATGACAGGGTGAGGAGGGAGGCAAGACTGAGGATGAGGAAGCCTAAATGGGAAATAGAATTGACAATTGATCACCACTCTATTACTATAAAAATTACCTATTAAAGGCTGAGCACAATGGCTCACGCCTGTAATCCCAGCACTTTGGGAGGCTGAGGCAGGTGAATCGCCTGAAGTTGGGAGTTGAAGACCAGCCTGATCAACATGGAGAAACCCCATCTCTACTAAAAATACAAAAATAGCCGGGTGCGGTGGTGGGCATACGTAATCCCAGCTACTTGGGAGGCTGAGGCAAGAAAATCACTTAAACCTGGGAGGTGGAGGTTGTGGTGAGCCGAGATCATGCCATTCCACATCAGCTCGGGCAACAAGAATGAAACTCCATCTCCAAAAAAAAAAAAAAAAAAAAAAAAAAAAAAAGAAGGGAAGGAAATAGAACTGACAATTGATCACCACTCTATTACTATAAAAATTACCTATTAAAGGCTGAGCACAATGGCTCACGCCTGTAATCCCAGCACTTTGGGAGGCTGAGGCAGGTGAATCGCCTGAAGTTGGGAGTTGAAGACCAGCCTGATCAACATGGAGAAACCCCATCTCTACTAAAAATACAAAAATAGCCGGGCATGGTGGCATGTGCTTGTAAACCAGCTACTCAGGAGGCTGAGGCAGGAGAATTGCCTGAACCCAGGAGGCGGAGGTTGCGGTGAGCCGAGATCGCGCCATTGCACTCCAGCCTGGGTAACAAGAGCGAAACTCCGTCTCAAAAAAAAAAAAAAAAAAAAAAAAAAAAAAAAAAAAAAAAAAAAAAAAGATTCATTTAGCCCTCCAACTGGGCTCCCTGAGGAAGGGGAGTAGGGGGTGCTAATCAGCTAATTTAATCAGCAACTTAATTACAATTTTAATAACTACCATTGATTGAAAACTTATACATGTCAATCATAGCTCTGAAGTGTTCTAGTGTCTTTAAAAATTTAAGCTTCAAAGCTGGGCATGGTGGTGTTTACCTGTAGTTCCAGCTACTTGGGACACTAAGGCAGGAGGATGGCTTGAATCCAGGAGTTTGGGACTTGCCTTGGCAACACAGACCCTGTGTCTTAAAAAAAAAAAAACAAACATTAAATGTCAACAAATCTGTGAAGTAAATTTTTGTAAATTGTGGCAAAATGTAAATAACATCAAATTTACCATTTTAGCCATTTAAAATTATACAGTTCTGGCCAGGTTCGGTGGCTCATGTAATCCCAGCATTTTGGGAGGCTGAGGCGGGCAGATCACTTGTGGTCAGGAGTTCATGACCAGCCTGGCCAACATGGTGAAACCATTTCTCTACTAAAAATACAAAAATTAACGGAGTGTGATGGCGCATGTCTGAGCAGTCCCAGCTACTCAGGAGACTGAGGCAGGAGAATCACTTCAACCCAGGTGGCAAAGGTTGTAGTGAGCCAAGATCTTACCACTGCACTCCAGCCTGGGTGACAGAGTGAGACTCTGTCTCAAAAAAACAACAAAAAAGAAAGAAACAAACAAAAAAACCAATTCTGTGGCATTAAAAACATTTACACTGTTGTACAAATCAAATGAAGTAGATTTTTAAAATAGCTTTACTGATGATCAAACTTTGTATCAGACAGTTTAAGTAATTTGACTGTTGGTAGCAGAGTGAAGATTGAGCTCCTTCTTTGTCTGACTTCAAATTCTGTGCTCATTTTCTTTTATTTTTGAGACGAAGTTTCGCTCTTGTTGCCCAGGATGGAGTACAATGCTGCCAACTTGGCTCACTGCAACCTCCACCTCCAGGGTTCAAGCAATTCTCCTGCCTCAGCCTCCCAAGTAGCTGAGATTACAGGAACTCAAAACGATGCTTGGCTAATTTTGTATTTTTAGTAGAGACGGGGTTTTCTCCATGATGGTCAGGCTGGTCTCAAATTCCCGACCTCAGATAATCTGCCTGCCTTGGCCTCCCAAAGTGCTGTGATTACAGGTGTGAACCACAGCGCCTGGCCTCTATGCTTATTTTCTATAGCATAGACCTGCAACCTTTTGGAGGGAGATGAGATTTAAACAAGTGAAATAGGCTGGGCACAGTGGCCCGTGCCTGTCATTCCAACACTTTGGGAGGTTGAGGTGGGGGGAATCCTTTGAGGCTAGGAGTTTGAGACCAGCCTGGGCAACATAGCAAGATCTTGTCTGTTAAAAAAAATCAGCCAAGCATAGTGGTGCATGCCTGTAGTTCCAGCTACTCAGGATGCTGAGGCAGGAGAGTCACTTGAGCCCAGTAGTTCAAGGCTGCAGTGAGCTATGATCATGCCGCTGCTCTCCAGCCTAGGCCACAGAGCATGACTCTGTCTCTAAAAACTTTTTTTTGTTTGTTTGTTTGAGATGGAGTCTTGCTCTGTCACCCAGGCTGGTGTGGCGCCATCTTGGCTCACTGCACCCTCTGCCTTCTGGGTTCAACTGATTTTCCTGCCTTAGCCTCTGGAGTAGCTGGGGTCACAGGCGCCTGCCATCATGACCAGCTAATTTTTGTATTTTTAGTAGAGATGGGGTTTTGCCATGTTGGCCAGGCTGGTCTTGAACTCCTGACCTCAGGTGATCTACCCACCTCGGCCTCCCAAAGTGCTGGGATTACAGGCGTGAGCTACTACGCCCAGCCTGTCTCTAAACAACTTAAAATTAAAAATAAATAAATAAAAATTTATAAATTAAAATTCAATAAAAACTAAAAACATTTAAAATTGATGTAATAAAATCACAGACTGTCTTAAGCTCTAGGAAGGAAATAGAGTGATATGATGGTTACCGGACTGAAGGCGTAAGAGATTACTTAATGGGATACAGAAGGCCTCTTTGTGGAAATGACCTTTGCACTGAAACTTTTGAGGGGGAAATATAAAGGCTTTGAAGTGAGAAGGAATGTGGCATGTCTGAGACAAAAAAAAAAAAAAAAAAAGGCGGTGGGGTTTAGCTGAGTAAAGTGTGTAAGGGGCAAAGTGATTTAGAAGAGAATTTCACTGAGTGACTTTCATTTTGGTAATACTTACGTTAGGGAGATTGTTAAGCTATGGATGCAATCAATGACAGGCGACTACTGAGCAGTAGTTCTCGATCCCTGTAATTTACAGTCTCAGTGTTATGTAATGAAGATGACCTTCCAAAGTGCTGGAATTACAGGCGGTGAGCTAGATTTTATTTTCCCTGCTTTATAGATGAGAAAACCAAAGATCAGAAAAATTAAGAAACATGTTAAAGTTATCAGCTACTAAGTGGCTAGCCTACTCAAAGGCAAATTTTGGATTTTTCTTCCTTTTCCCTGGAGACTCTGTGGGCAAATCTCCTAAATCTCTCTTTTTTTTTTTTTTGAGGCGGAGTCCCGCTCCGTCACCCAGGCTGGAGTGCAGTGGCATAATCTCGGCTCACTGCAACCTCCGCCTCCTGGGTTCAAGCACTTCTCCTGTCTCAGCCTCCTGGGTAGCTAGGATTACAGGATTATTTTGTACTTTTAGTAGAGACGGCATTTTGTCATGTTGGCCAGGTGGGTCTCAAACTCCTGACCTCAGGTAATCCACTCACCTCGGCCTTCGAACGTGCTGAGATTAAAGGCGTGAGCCACTGCACCCAGACCCTAAATCTTTTATGCCATTTATAATGATTGAAAGTCTAGTCTAGTTTAAATAAAAACTTTCAATTTCAGATGTAACTTAACGCTTCTCCCCTAAGTCTCAGGCAGTTGAAAATTTGTGTTTGGTTTACAGTTTCACTCTTTTCATTCTCCATCCTCTCACTCTGCTGTTTCTGGGTCTCCTCCAGGGTAGAGTAAGTTTTGGTGAGAGCAGAGAAGTAGGTGGAATTAAAAGAAGTCAAGGTCTCCTGTCTTCATGACTGTTGACATCAGAGGCAGAGACCGGGGTGCTGGTTCTTTCTTGTTGGGAGTATTTACATGTTCTTGTGTTCTTTGGAGGATCTACCTGTGGACATCAAGACTCCCATCAGTGACTGCCTCCTGAAGTTCATACTTCCAGCCTCTTATTACTGGGTCTCCTCACACTAGCATATGGCCCTACTGAATAGGTCTCTTTAAGAAGGTCCAGGATGATCTACCTTTTCAGCATCCACTTGGTCCTTAAGAACCTTGCCATGTCAAACACAGGGAGTGGAAGCTACCCCATTGCTGCCCTCTCTCCTTGTCTTGTTGTAGAGTATGCCAGCCAGCTTTCCTAATTCAGAATTCTGTAGGCTAGAAGTGGGTGATCATCTTCATGAATGTGCACAAATGCCAAACTCCTCAAGAGACATGTCTAGTTAACCTCAAAACGTTCCCCATGGTGATCACACAGGAATGGGCTCATGTTTCCACAGTCAGCAAGAGTTACTAGCTTGGGAGAAAGATCTGGCAGACACTCCTAGTCTATTACAGGAAGGGTCTGCAACCCTGGGCTGTGGACAGCTGCCAGTCAGTGGTCTGTTAGGAACCAAGCCCCACAGCAGGAGGTGAGCGGCTGGGGAGCCAGCATTACCACCTGAGCTCCACCCCTTGTCAGATTACCTGAAGCATTAGATTCTCATAGGAGGCAAACCTTATTGTGAACTGAGCATGCCAGGGATCTAGATACTGTGCTCCTTGTGAAAATCTAATGCCTGATGATCTGAGGTGGAAGTTTTATCCCAAAACCATCCCTTTTCCCCACATCCGTGGAAAAATTTTCTTCCACAAAACTGGTCCCTGGTGCCAAAAAGATTTGCGTCCACTGTTTTTATAGTACCCTCTCTTTGTAGTGAGTCCAGCACTCTATCCTCTCCTATGATTTCTTCTTCTTTTTTTTTTCTTTTTTGAGATGGAGTCTTGCAGTGTCGCCCAGGCTGTAGTGCAGTGGTGCGATCTCGGCTCATTGGAATCTCCACCTCCTGGATTCAAGCAATTCTCCTGACTCAGCCTCTGGAGTAGCTGGGACTACAGGCGTGTGCCACCATACCCAGCTAATTTTTTTGTATTTTTAGTAGAGACAGGGTTTCACTATGTTGGCCAGGATGGTCTTGATCTCCTGACCTGGTGATCTGCCTACCTCGGACTCCCAAAGTGCTGGGATTACAGGCGTGAGCCGCCGTGCCCAGCTTTCTATGATTTCTTCTAAAGCCTCCCACCTCAGCCTCCCAAGTAGCTGAGACTACAAGGTGCACCACCACCATCCTCGGCTAATTTGTGTATTTTTAGTAGAATCAGGGGTCTCTCTGTGTTGCCCTGGCTCAAGCAATCTGCTCGCCTCGGCCTCCCAAAGTTCTGGGGTTACAGGCGTGAGCCACCTCACCCTGCCAGAAGACATTTAATCCAACTCTCCATCAAAGTCATGAGTCCTGTTTACAACAACTTGAGATGTCATCTACTTTTCATGTGAACACAGCCAGGAATTAGGAAGGCAGTCCCTAACCGGCAGGTCTCAGTTCTCTCAATCAGGATTTGAGCTTCATCAAATAACTCAAATCCCCTGTTTCCTCCCATATTAAAGGGGAGTAAATATCTTCCTCACAAAACATTTTTGGGAGAATAAAAGTAGATGAATATTAATGGGCTAATCTATTTACAGAGGAAAGTGTGCAACATTAGTTCCCTTTATGGATCCTTTTATTTTTTTGAGACAGAGTTGACCGGGCACGGTGGCTCACGCCTGTAATCCAAGCACTTTGGAGGCCAAGGCGGGCAGATGACCTGAGGTTGGGAGTTCAAGACCAGCCTGACCAACATGGTGAAACCCCGTCTTAAAAAAAAAAAGAGACAGAATTTCGCTCTTTTTGCCCAGGCTGAAGTGCAATGGCATGATCTCGGCTCACTGAAACCTTCGCCTCCTGGGTTCAAGCGATTCTCCTGCCTCAGCCTCCCAAGTAGCTGGGATTACAGGCATGTGCCACCACGCTTGGCTAATTTTATATTTTTAGTAGAGATGGGGTTTCTCCATGTTGGTTAGGCTGGTCTCGAACTCCCGATCTCAGGTGATCCTCCCGCCTCCGCCTCCCAAAGTGCTGGGATTACAGGCGTAAGCCACCGAGCCCAGCCTACGGGTCCCTTTATGGGACAGGACTTTCCAGCTTCGGATTGTCATCACCTAGAGAAAGGTCTTCCTTATATTGAATTGTCTTTGTACCCTTTTGGCACCTTTCTTAAGTTTAACCCTAAGAGGTCTCATAGAATGTCATTTTTCTGTCCACACGACATCTTCACTGATATCTCTGACTTCAGTTGAAGGGACTGAAGATATTGGGAAGAAAAATTGAATTTTTCTTCTTTTTATTTTTTGAGCTGGGGTGCTGGGTGAATCTTCTGTGGATTCCCAAGGGGTGTTTGTGGCGTGAATGGAGCACAGGTGATGTTTCAGTTCATCACGTCCAGCGCTGTCCCAAGGTGAAACGCGCGCGTGGGAAGGACCGTTTTCTCCGGCCCTGGCGGGTCTGCCCTCCTGCCCTGCTAGCATGCTGTGGGAGTCAAGCCTGGAAAGCGTGTGTGCGGGGCACAGGCTCCAGACACTGGAACGCTTTCGAATGGTGGCATTGTCTGCCACATAGCGAGCACTTTATAAGGTCACGTATCGCCCTGAATGAATGGTTAAATCGTGGAAGCTGCAAAAAAAGCCACACAGCTGTGACTGAACACCTAGCCCGGTACTCAAGAACCCCTCTCAGGGGTGCGCGAGAGGCGCCAGAATCAAGAAGCCTCTTTTGGAGTGGGCGGGACCGACCTTGGGCTCCCCCTGCGGGGCACCGCCTCTTTTCCTCTCCGCCCGCCCGCTAGGCGGCGCCATGGAGCTTGCAGCCCACCTGCGAGGCACTCCCGCCCTCCCCACCCCTCAGCCCGCGCCCGGCGGAGAGACTACAACTCCCGGGGTGCTCTGGAAGCGGAGCCGCCGCGGGAGCTACGGGCGGAGGGACGCGAGGGCGGGCTTTCCGGGTGTGTGTTTCCGGCGTTGGCGGCCGTGGCCGGGGACGGTGTGAGAGCGGTAAGATGGCGGCGGCGGCGGTGGTGGAGTTCCAGAGAGCCCAGTCTCTACTCAGCACCGACCGGGAGGCCTCCATCGACATCCTCCACTCCATCGGTAAAGGTCGCCGCGCCGCCTCCCGGGCCCTGCCGGCCCAGCTCGGCTTCTGTCGGTCGGTGGCAGCGGAGAGGGGCTGGGCTAGTCGGCTGTGGTGCTGCTGACTCACTGTGTGTGTGAGGGGGGCCGGGCCGGGGGCGCAGGCCGCTCCGATCTCCCCGGAGCCCCCCGGGTCCCACTCTTGTGGGAGGCCTTGAAGCAGCCCCCGGGTTCCCTTGCTGGCTGCTGACTCACGGGGGGTTCAGCGTGGGGTGGGAGAATGGGCCGAGCTGGGCCCCCACCCGTCCCTAGCCTCGTCCCCGGCTCTGGCCCGCACGAGCTGGTCTGGGTCCCGGAGCAGTGCCGGGCTGCGAGCTTGTCACGGGCTGGTCCGAGAGTCTCTAGTTGAAAGGCCTTGGCGAAACCAGCCCAGGACGGGCATTTCCCGCCGTTGTAATCAGCACAGCCTGCTCCGGGTGGGAGCGCGAGCGCTTGCTCTTCTCTAGGAGTTTCCTTCCACGGGACGCGGGGAGCTGCTCCCTCTCCCCGCCCAGCCCCACGGCGGAAAGCTCCACTAGAGGAGGGTCTCTTTCAGAATGTGAGAAATGCAGGGGTGACACACACCTCAGATTGGCATTTGGTTTGTGGAGGTGGCCGAGACGCTCATCTGCGCTGTGTAGAGTGTAAGAGTGAGGTGTTGGAGTGGGACCGCCCGGCTACAGGAGGTGACTAATCTTTTCAGACTCCCTGTAGAGGGGTTGGAAGTGAGTTAAGGGAGTTAGTTGTCAGCCGCGGAGTTCAGGGAATGCTTTGCAACGGGTCGGCTGCATGTTGCCGGAAAAATTAAAGAAATTTTTCTTAACACTGTATGATGGTCTACACCTGCACACAACAGGAAAACTGAAATGGGAATCCCAGACGGTCGCTTCCGGCAGCTTTCTATTGGGATTCAAGTGTGAACAGAAATTTGTGATGACAGAGGAAGGCTTTAATGTTCACTCATAAAGGATTCAGTTAGGGCATGGACCAGCTCTTCACCGCATGTGATGGGATCTTTTTAGTGTAGCTTGAGAAGATCTGAATTGGCTCAACAAGTAGTATGAGAAGGCACCTGTATGTTGGACTGGGAAGATGTTGGCATGTGACTTATTTAGTGTGTTGAATTTTGGTGTTCCAGACCTGCACGGAGAAAGGACAATGACAAGATCCTGATACTTTGTCGTCGGGGATACTAGAGAAGGAGAGGAGGTGGTTAAGATGTATCTTTGAATGAATTATGTTAGTAAAAGGTGTTTCATGTTAAAAGTTCTGATCTTGACTTAGGTCAGTTACTTTTACGGAACCGGAGTCATGTCAATCACCGTTCCTTGTGTATTTTATTATGGGTACGCTTAGAACTTACGTGAGGAGCATGAATTTTAGTTTTCTGTGCCTAGTGCCTAATGTTTTGGCATTCATAAAGTAGAAATTATGTTAAACATTACAATTAGAGTATTTCCTGTTTGCCCATTATACTGGGGGAGAGTTCCCTGAAAACTTCACTGTTAGAGCAAGCTTGAGGCATGATGGTTGATGGTCTTACTTTTTCTGGACTCCATCATGGAGTATCAAAATCTTGGTTTTTGTCAAGTCATGATGCTTTGTAAGAGTAGTAGTAACTAGTGATGATCACTACAAACTTGGAGAGACTATTCCACGTTTGAATGTTAAAATAGTTATTAACTGTTGAAAATAGGACAGATAGCACAAAGTTCTTTTCACAGACCTCAATGCATTAAAAAACAGCAGTCTCTCCTAAGTGTAGCTGTGCAGGATCACACTGGGGCTTTGATAGTTGTTTTTCTTGAATGACTTTATAGAACTGCTTATCCCTAACACACCCATTAGCTGAGGCTTTTCACAGACCTAAAGTTTATTGAAAGGCTTTTGACTTACAGTCATCAATAACTTGGTCATTTGATTTTAGTTAGTGGCATAAACGACAGGCATGTTTAATATCTTTACATAACATAGTGACTAGCATGGATCTTGGCACCATAAGTATGAAGGATTTGTTTTGTTTTAATTTTGCTTTAACCACAACAGAAACTCAGTGTATGTAGATAAGCAAAATTCTAGTGGATAGAATGAAGAGACACATTTAAAATCAAAAGAGAAGAATACTTTTTTTTTTTTTTAATGATTTACATGGAGCATGTCCTACATATATATGATCATTTTTTTTTCCTGGCTTAGAGGTTTTTTTTTTTACTCTCTAGAATTTGTCTTTTGGTAAATATGAGTTTGTAATGGGCCTTATGAGGGTGAAATTTCCTTCAGTCTTTACTTTTTGGTCAGGATTTTAAGAGGGTTTGCGTTTTTCTCTCCCAGTGAAGCGTGACATTCAGGAAAATGATGAGGAGGCAGTGCAAGTCAAAGAGCAGAGCATCCTGGAACTGGGATCTCTCCTGGCGAAGACCGGACAAGCTGCAGGTAAGTGCTACACATGGATTGTACCTCAAATGCTGAACGAAATTCCTGTCTTTTACTGGAGTAAAGAATCATGGGACTCCATCCACAAACTAAATTCAGCTTTATTTTCTTGGCAACTTTTTTTTAGCAGGAAATTAAGTGGTCTTTAAACTCAGTTCTTTCATGGCAATTTTGTTTTGCAAATGAGTGACAGTCTTATTTTTGTTGGGATATAGTGATCTCTGATTTGTTTCTGGTTTTTGAATTCTCACTGTATTCCCTTACATAGAGGCAGCAACAGTCTTCAATAATTTCACTGAGCAACTCTGATGTATTTAAGATAGATAGCGTCTTAAGCACTTGATTTAAAAATGACCAGGGAGTTTGTATCCAAGTGACTCACTGTTTTTTTTTTTTTTTTTCTTTTGCTAATTAAGAATGAGAATGAGTAAGACATTAAATGTAGCCTTCCCAAGGCTTCTCCAATAGTACCTAGGACTTTGGGCACATCATTGCTCAAACATTCTAGTTGTAATTGAACCATTGACTGATTAGATTTGACATGATAGTCTGATGGTGGGTGTGTCCTTGGAATGAGAAGAGAGTCCTTTTGACCAGGAAGGACCTTTCATTGGTAAAGTGATTAATAGTATTTAGAGAGGAATCTGTTTAAACTTAAAATGGGTGATTTTTGTCAAGTTTAAAATGAATTTAGAACACATTTGATTAGAATGAATTAAGCTCTGGTAAGTGACCTCATGAATTATTTTCCCTAAAATTATGTTGTTCAAGAGAATGATGGGGGTTAGCTAGCACAGCTTCTTGAACTTGAGAACTAAAGATTTTTTTTTTTTCAATTAAAGATAACTGATTTATTAATTATTAAGCTCAGTCTACAGAATTGAATAAAGATGTATGAAATTGTGAGGATGTGTTTACGTGGGCCTTATATCTTACTGAAAACATCATTAAGTATCTATTAGAAGAACTGTACATAATGGTTTTTGAATGCTATGAACTAGTTACTCTTTTTTTTGTTGTTTTAAAAAAATTTTTTTTGAGACAGTTTCAATCTTATTGTCCAGGCTGGAGTGCAGATTGTGTGATCTTGGCTCCCTGCAACCTCTGCCTCCCAGTTTCAAGTGATTCTTCTACCTTAGCCTCCCTAGTAGCTAGGATTGCAGACATGTGCCACTATGCCCAGCTATTTTTTTTTTTTTTTTTTAAGTGGAGGCGAGGTTTCACCATGTTGGTCAGGTGGGTCTCGAACTCCTGACCTCAGGTGATCTATCTGCCTCAGCCTCCCAAAATGATGAGATTACAGGTGTAAACCATTGCACCTGGCCAACTAGTTACTCTTTTAAACACATACATGGTTTAACTTGATTGAATCCTCAAAACAACCTGAAGTAGGTACTGTTATCTGTTTTACACATGAGGATACTGAGCACGGAAAAGTTAAATAATCCACCCAAGCTCATTCAACTAGTAACTGGTAGACTTAGGATTTGAACCTGTGTAGTCCTACTTCAGAGCTCATATAGCCACATGACATCATGGTTATTGCTTTCCTTTAATTGTCTACTTACAAATGATCACTGGTGGGTGGTGTCTTTTCATCTTAGGCTAACTTCCCTCCTATTTAACATACATATGGATTCCATTGTCTGTCAGTTAATTTGAGCTTGGGGGGTTCCAAAACAGTTTTGACAGTTACTCCATGCAAAATATAATTAATAATTTTTCTGAATTATAAAGCCAACTGAAGTGATGTGAAAGTTTTTTTTGTTGTTAGCCAGGTGTTGTGGCTCATGCCTACAGTCCCAGCACTTTGGCAGGCTGAGGCAGGAGGATCCCCTGAGCCCAGGAATTTGCGACCAGCCCTGGCAACATAGTAAGACCCTGTCTCTACAAAAAATAGAAAACTTAGCTGGTTGTGGTGTTATTTGCCTGTAGTCCCCAGCTACTCTGGAAGCGGAGTGGGGAGGATTGCTTGAGCCAAGGAGGTTGAGGCTATAGTGAGCTATAATCACACTACTGTGCTCCAGCCCGGGTGACAGAGCAAGACCCTATCTCAAAAAAAATATTTTTTTGTTGCAATATCCAAATTTCTACTTTCTTCCAGTGGCATGAATTAAGAACAAGTGTATGGTATATAGTCAACACTTCAGTAATTTTCATCCAAAATGTTACTGTTTTGCTTGAAATTCCAATTTTTTATGTAATCTCCTCTTATTTCTTGACCTTCCTGCCTTATGACCCAATACCTGAGAAGTTTA